CAATTTCCGAATTTCCGCTTGACCAATTCGCAAAGTCATGACGAAAATGTTCAGAGTTACAAGTTCGACACCAATTAAAACCCGTGTTCTTCATTCCACAATCAAAACATTCACCGTAGTCATCGTATACTCCAAATGGTATGAACCCATTGAAAGCGAATAAGAGCGAACCTGTTTTTGCTCTCGTAGCTTTGCCTATATTGTAATAAAGGGACATTTTTTTATATACGTGGTTTTGGAAGAAAGTTGATCTTAATTTTATACAAAAATGCTAACACGTAAAAGACGGGGTGCGTTGATCTATACCATATGTTTGATATCCGTCCGATGACGATAATTTTCACACTATCTTCATAAAATGGAATAGAACACGAGATCAACTATGAACTTAATAAATTATAACCTGAATTGAGTTCCGCTCCCTAGATAACTTTATATTTTTCTAATTACTGTTACATGAAAGGATTTCCCGATTGGATTAAAGTGTACGTGTTTATCTGTCTATCTATTGTTATTTTAATTTTTAAGAAATGATTTTTTTTTGCGCGGAGATACTTTTGGCATTCTTTAATAGGACAATCAAGTCATACTTGGTTAATTGTTGTTACACGGGAAATTAAAAAAATATATTCTTCTTTCCTTCAAAAATTCAAGACTTTAAAAAAGCATAATATTACCGTATATGGAAGGATGTTTCATACGTAATAAACAAGCAAATTTTGAATAATATTACATTTCTTTGACGAACTACAGTACTATACTATATATTAATAATATATAAAATTGTATTTTAAATAATCCAATTAATATATTTGAACATAAAACCCTTTTTTAAGAATGTATTTAAATCGATTGATTGAATTAAATTCGTTGATAGATATTTACGAAATTTATTTGAAACTTTAAAAACGAAAAAATAGTTTATACACTGTATTTGCAATAATATTAATTCAAATCGTATGTTTGTTTATAAATTTTATCTGTAATAAACAATAATATTTTTTTTTATTAATTCTTTAAGATTACTTCAAATAATATACTGTGTATATATATTAAAAATTAAAGTAATCTGTTATAAAATTTTTTTATAATAAAATCTATATACTTTTCTTAACAATATTATTATTCAAAGATTATAATTATTATTATTATTATTATTATTTCAAAACAAACTTTCTACAGTTCTATAAAATAAATACAAAAACTTTCATTTATAAAATCAAAAGTTGGAATATTTTATCAAAAAAAAACATAATAAAAAAATATCTTTTGTCAAAAGTTTAAGACTTCAAAAAAAAATAAATTCTTGATTTTTTGAAACTTTTTTTATTTTTTTAAAGTCTTGTTTGTTCTTTTAAACACATATACACATATATATTGATTTTTTAAAAAATATAATTTGAGTCGTGTGATTTAACAATTGGCTTTTGAAAACTGTAAAAGAAAATAAATTTAAAATAAGTATTAAATAAAAAATAATAATAATATAGTTAATAATAAATTAGATAATAGTACTAGAAATATATAGAAATTCTTTTATATTTTATTATTTTTTTAAATTTTTTTAGTATGTCTATAAAACTATATAAAATATTAATACTTATTCTTGTAAATAGAGAAACACAGATAATAATAACTATAAATATTATTAATAAAGTAAAAGAACTTATCTTAATCAAATTAAATACCTTATAAATAATTTATATTTTTATAATATATTGTAAAAGAGAAAGCAAACAGGAGTAATGCAATTCAGATCATATAACAAACAATCAACTTGAGATTACAAAAAAAAAACATAATTGAAATTGGTACTAAAGATAAAACAATAACAATGTAATTAATATTATATTATATAATTAGTACCAGAAAAAAAAGAAACTCTCTTACCTTTCATTATGTTTTTAAATTGCTCTATTAGATTTTTTGTAAAAAAAATATATAATGTTAGCATTTATTTTAAAAAACAAGAAAATATAAATAGTAATAACTAAAGTAATTTAATAAAAAGAAATTTATATTATTCAGTCAAATCAAATGCTTTGCTAGTAGAATCAATTGTTACAATATATTATAATTTATAATTTAAATTAATTAAATAAATAAAAATTCTTTTTTGATAATATTATAAATTATAAATAATAAACAGTTAGTAAGAATCTTTTTATTTAAAAAAAAAAGAATTACTTTTAATTTATTATAGAATACAAGAGATCTAATTAACTTTCAATATAAAAAATATTTAAGAAAAACAAATACTTATTTAGATAATTCTTTGCTTTACTAAATAAAACTTATGTAAATAATTTTTAAATTAAAAAAAATCTTTTTGCCTATCTTTATATATAATTGTTAAATTTAAAACATATTATATATTCTTTTATTTCAAATATTTATATATGTGGATAATTATTTTTAAAGGTAAATCAAAAATTTTTTAGAATATAAATTTATTACTTTATAATTTAAAATTCAAAATTATATAATATATAACTTATAATATAAATTTTAAAATAAACTAATATAATAATATTATTTTTATTTTTTAATAATCATTTTATTATTATTTTAATAATAAATATAATAATATAAGATAAAACTTGCATGAAAGAAAAAAAAAAACTCTCTCCTGATCACATTTGTTTTGTTAAAAATTTTTCTTTTATGGTAATTTTAAGCAAGAAAAAATGTT